ATAAGAAATATAAATATTGGTCTCTCCCCCTGTCCCTGGCAAGAAGTTCTTCAAACCTTTGTAATTTCCTGAGCTATGCCAGTGTGAGGAGCATCTTTTTCCCCCAATATTTGGTCTTTGACCCCTTGCTGCTGACACAGAGCTCTGAATCTCTTGGAATTGCCTGGGTGATAAAAGTATCTTTGTTCTAACGAGGTGACTCTTGGTGAACTCCTGGATGGGGGCTGTTCATCAGAAAGGCCAAGTCATGATTAGAAGCTTAGAGCTTTCAGCCCTAGTCTGATTTTCTGTCAAGGGGAGAAGGGCTGGAAATGAAGATAATCAGTCGTGCCTGTGTGATGAAGTTCTCTGAACCTCACACAACTATAGGGTTCATGGAGCTTCTGGCAAACACAACTGAGTTCCAGGAGGATGGTACACCCCAACTTCAAGGGGACAGAAGCTACTGCACTTGACATCTTTTCAGAGCTTACCCTGGGTATCTTTTATTTATTTATTTATTTGTTTGTTTGTTTGAGTTGGAGTCTCACTCCATCGCCCAGGCTGGAGTGCAGTGGTATGCTCACAGCCACCCCATCGTCGACCTGCTGGGCTTAGGCGATCATTCCAAGTAGCTGGAACTACAGGCGCGCGCTACCACACCCCACTCATTTTCTTATTTATTGTAGAGACGAGGTCTCGCCAAGTTGCCCAGGCAGGTCTTGAACCCGTGGGCTCAGCAATCCACTCGCCTCGGCCTCCCAAAGTGCTAGGGATGACAGGCTAAGCCACCGAGCCCGGCCGAAGCTTCTTTTCTTAATTCAACAGACTGTGCTTGTAAATCCTCCATTCAGGAAATCGAGAGACTTACTGAACAACTAGAAGAAAAGGAGAGAGAGACACAGCAGCTGATGAGCCAGCCGCAGCATGAGCGAGAGAAGGAAGTCGTCCTGCTACGGAAGAGCATGGCAGAGGAGGAACGGGCCCGGGCCGCCTGTGACGTTCTATGCCGCTCCTTGGCCAAGGAGACCCACCAGCTGCGGAGGACGCTGGCCGCCACTGCCCATATGTGCCAGCATCTGGCCAAGCGCCTGGATGAACAGCAGCATGCCCAAGATACGGGGGACAAAGGTCCCGACAGGGTAGGCCACAGTGACCAAATCACAGTGAAGACCTGGTATGGTGGGGGTGTTGCTTGCAGACCCCAGGGTCCCTCAGCAGTCACGGAGCGCCAGGGGTGCCCACTTGTGTTCTCAGTAACACGAGTCAGCTGATGGGGCAAAGCTCGCCCATCAGGGTTTCTTTTAGAATGATGGGACATGCAGAAGGGCTCTCTGGGCCTCCAGGGCAAGCTGTATCTGGGCTGTGGCTTTGTGCAGGGTCTGGTGGGGGAGAGTGTGACTGTGAGAGTTTTAGCGAAACCTCACTCAGCAAATTATTGCTAACAAATAGCTTCACAGCTGAGTGTGGTGGCTCACGCCTGTAATCCCAGCACTTTGGGAGGTGGAGTCAAGAGGATTGCCTGAGTCCAGGGGTTCAAGATAAGGCTGAGCAACTTGGTAAGACCTTGTGTCTACAGTAAGTGGAAAAAAATTAGCTGGGTATGGAGGCGCTCACCTGTAGTTCTAGGTACTTGGAAGGCTGAGGCAGAAGGATCACCTGAGCCCAGCAGATGGAGGCTGCAGTGGCCATAAGCATGCCATTGCACTTCAGCCTGGGTGACAGAGTGAGACTCTGACTCAAAAAAAAAAAAAGGCTGCGTGTGGTGGGTCAAGCCTGTAAGTAATCCCAGTACTTTGGGAGGCTGAGGCAAGAGAATGGGCTGAGTCCAAGGGTTCAAGATCAGCCTGGGCAACCTGGTGAGACCTTGTCTCTATAGTAAATAAAAAAAAATTAGGCCAGGCATGGTGCCTCAGCCTATAATCCCAGCAGTTTGGGAGACGGAGGTGAGAGGACTGCCTGAGTCCAGGGGTTTGAGACCAGCCTGGGCAACTCGGTGAGACCACATCTCTACAATAAATCAAAAATTAGCCAGGCGTGGCGGTTCATGCCTGTAGTTCCAGCTGCTTGGAAGGCTGAGGTGAAAGGATCATCTGAGCCCAGCAGGCTGAGGCTGCAGTGGCTGTGAGCATACCATTGCACTCCAGCCTGGGCGACAGAGTGAGACTCTAACTCAAAAAAAAAAAAAAATGACTTCACATAAGGTTGTCATGGAGGTTGGTTGGAGGTGCGCCTCGGAACCCAGGGCACTCCAGGCAGGAAGAGCAGGAGAGCAATGGAGCTGAGGTCCCTGTGAGCCAGGTGCTGTTTAAGGCGCCTTCCTCCCTGCTGGTGGGCTGTGGTGATCTGCATGAGGCATTCAGGGAAAGCAAAGGCACACGGTGTGCACCTTGCCCAGGTTACAAGCTGGGTCAGGCTGAGCCTGTGTCTCACCTGCACTGCCTGTCACAGGGCCTTTCACTCAGGTCCTTCCTAGGCAGTTCTCTGAGGCAGCAGCAAGATTCATACAGAAACATGGACTCTGAGATGTTCTAGGCCGATCCACTCCTCTCAGCAGCGTCCCTGAAATGCCTGTTGGGGAGAAACTTGGTCTGAGAACCACCCATCTCAGTTGGGTGGATTCCACAAAAGAGGAAGCTCTGAAACCAAAGGAAAAGTTCTGTCTGGGAGGAGGTAGGTGTTCTTGTCTGACTTTGAGTCACTGTGTCATTTCCCTCTGGGGATTTGAAAGGAGTCACACACAGTGGTCAGCCTGAGGCAGGCACGAGGCTGATGGCGAGGGGTAGAGGAGTGGAGCCTCGTCACTGTCTCTAAATAAGTGTCACTTCTCAGCCCCGAACTCAGCTGACTCACCCGGTGCTTCCTGGTGCACGCTGGATTAGGACATGTACTTTCTTTGTCATTTGAGGGGAATTCTCAAAAATAACATCACTAATATACAGCTCCCCGCAGTGCCCAGAATTTTTAGCGTGCAAATAGATGTTGCAGGAGACTTTTCTGTTAGATGTGCACCTGTCAGTAGGGGTTGGCTTGGGATGTGGTTTCCATGACTGAATGCCCTGGCCCTGTGTGAGGCACAGGTTAGACGGCTACATTCAGAATCATCACAGTTGAATCTGATTATTTGCGGCCAGAACAGTGTCGTGGGCTCCAAAGGAGGTAAGCTGGGTGCCTGGCTAGACCCACCCTGGGCATCGGGGAGGCCGGGATCCTCTGGCGGAGAGCGGGATTAAGCTTCCTGCCTTCCCTGCCGTCCATGACGATGGTAGATCTCAAGCGATGAGAAGGTTTTATCATGTCTGGTATGCTAGTCTCTAGACTTGTTTGGCTCTAGAATGTTTAAATCCCAAATATTTAAAAGACAGCTCAAACTGGCAAATAGGCTGGGATAAAGACAGTGTCAAAGGTGATGTGCCCTGAAGACCCTCTGCCCACCCTGTGACCTGGCCCTGGCAGAACCAGTGAGTTCTTTTCCGTCTGTGCTTTGCGTCTGTACTGAATAAACAGTCACCACCTGCTGTGTTCCAGGATGCAGTGACGGCTTACCTCCCCTCTTGCTTTTTACGACAGTTATGGGCGGTAATGGGCGGTAACGCAGTGTCTTCTCTCTGTCCCTTCCTTATGCAGCCAAAACAAACAGACGGGGACACCTCTGTCCAGAATGTTATTGAAAAGTTACAGGAAGAAAACCGACTGTTAAAGCAGAAAGTGACTCATGTGAGTGTCCTTAGCATTTCATTTGAGAGCAATTACCCTCACAAACCATAAGTGAGGATTCTTTCCTCAGCTGATGCTAGAGGTTGCTCCAGTCCACTGGCACTTGGGCTTGGGAAATATGGTCCCCAGGACCTGACCTTTTTGCGTAAGACAATGTATAGGGCATGGATTGTCCTGCTTCTCCCTACAATTAGTTCATAAGTCAATAAAGGAAGTACAAGAGTCACCACCAGGAGGCACAGTTTCTAAGGCAAAAATCACATTAAGGCCTCTTCTGCTTACGATCGTTGTCTCTGGTGGGCTTAGTGTTCGCTCTGCACGGAACCAAGGGAGGCAGCTTCCACTTAAGAGGAACCTCGCTCAGCGAATGATTGCTAACAAGTAGCTTCGCCGCCGGGGGTTGGCTTGAGCAGCGTTCTCAGCCGCCTTCGCCGTGAGCTCTCCTCAGGTGGAAGACCTCAATGCCAAGTGGCAGCGCTACGACGCCAGCAGGGACGAATACGTGAGGGGGCTCCACGCACAGCTCAGGGAGCTGCAGACCTCCCATGAGCCCGAGCTGATGAGGAAGGAGATCTCCCGGCTCAACCGACAGTTGGAGGAGAAGATAAACGACTGTGCGGCGGTGAAGCAGGAGACGGCGGCCTTGCGGATGGCCCGCGATGCCGTGCTGGAGCGGGTGCAGATGCTGGAGCAGCAGGTGTCCGTCCCTCAGGCTCTGGGCAGCGCCAGCCGGACATCTGCCTGCAGGCGGTGGCTGCGGTCTTGGGACAGGCGGGGCTGAGGGCTTGGTGGCGCTGGGGGGCAGTGGGCGTGGGGCTGTGGGAGAAGCCGGGTGGGGACTTTCTCATTCCACGCGCAGAAGCCTGTGTCTCGTCTCGCTTCAGATTCTCGCTTACAAGGATGACTTCCTGTCAGAAAGGGCAGATCGGGAGCGGGCTCAGAGTAGGGTTCAAGAACTGGAGGAAAAAGTCACCTCTTTGCTGCACCAGGTGTCCTGGAGAGAGGTAGGTATGAGGACATTTTTCTTCTTGCTCAGGTTTTGTGTTTCTTTTTCTCCTGGATTTTGAGCCTTGAAGCAGAAAATTGCACTAGACCCTGATTTGCTGATGGAAAGAGTTCTAATGGGCTGTTCCCGGCCCTGAGAACAGCCACCTTGCCTAGCACCTGGGGTGTGGTCACACAAAGCCTCCCTGTTGTGCTGTGTTTAGCTAAAGAGGAGGTCGGTGTAGTGGCCTGGTGAGCAGAGGAGGCTGTCATCAGGGCCTGTTCTGCTTCCCTGTCGTCACTGCATGCGACCCAGGAGTGTGTCCCGGGAGCTCCATTCATGTCCTGTCCTCCCTGTGAGGCAGGAAGCCCAGTTACACTGTCACATAGACGTGCCAGCCCTGGGTGTCCAGTGATGTCCCACAGTTCAGCCTGGCCCATGGAGCTGGGCCTGACATACCAGTGGGCCCAGCACCCCACCCCCTGCTGCTCCCACCATGGGGGTGCCCCGATGGAGGCCTGGTACGAGCTGGAGCTCATGTGGTTTCTCACCGCATGACCTGGCACCCATGTGCCTTTTCTCCTCTCCTTCCTGGATCGGCTTGTGCTCTGCAAAAATCTACGGCAGGGTGGTTTCTTTAGCTACTTAGCAAGCATCTAACACACCTTTGGCCCTGGGATAGAGCCTGGGCCCTACTCAGAGAACTTTCTGTCCTGACACAGACTGGACACTAGTGTTGCCTCTGGGAATCCATGCACCCAGGGTTGGAGCTGGGATGCCGAGCTGACCTTGCAGCCGCCCCTCGCGGCAGGGTGGAAGCAAGGACCTGGGATGTGAAGGCTGCTCCCCTTCCCTGTTCTGAGCAGCCATCGGGCCTTGGTGGCTTCTGCTTCTCCCCTGCACAAGGGGCGCAGGAGAGCTGTGGTGGACACCCTTTGTTTCATACCCTTGGACTAAGTCCACAGGCTGACAAGGGGGTGCTGGGGCCACAGCAGGCCCTGCCTCAAGCCCCTCCCCAGCTGTAGCAACCTTCTTGGCATTACAAAATGGAGTATGTATGTGTATGGCTCCCACCCCCCGGCTCCTGGATCTCCTAAGGCTCTGGGACTGCAGGCCTGGGAGGGGGATCCTCTAGCCTGTCTCCTTGGAAGGAATGGGAACATATTCTAACGTGACTGTGGGTGGGTATTCTGAACTTTGTTTTGCTTATGGATTTTCCTAGGATTTAGTTCCTTCCATGAATGCAAGGAAGCACATGATTTGGATTGAAGGATCGCTCTTGTTACAGTCATGAGGGTGGTCTCAGGCAGCCTCTCAGCGACTTGGGGCCAGAGGAACTGGTACTAGATCTGCAGGCCCAGATTCTCCTAGGGATTCCCACTCAGCCCCAAGGGCAGAATTCCTGGTGGGGACAGGAGACTTTGCAATAAATGGCCTCTGCATCCTTTTATTTTATTTTTTTTGAGTCGAAGTCTTACTCTGTCACCCAGGCTGGCGTGCAGTGGCACGTCCATGGCGACTGCAGCCTCAACCTGCTGGGCTCAGGTGACCCTTCCGCCTCAGCCTTCTAAGTAGCTGGAACCACAGACATGTGCCACCACGCCCAGCTAGTTTTGTGTTTTATTGTAGAGATGAGGTCTTGCCAAGTTGCCCAGGCTGGCCTCAAACCTCTGGACTCAGGCAGTGCTCTCACCTCCACCTCCCAAAGTGCTGGGATGACAGGCTGAGCCACCGCACCCCACTGCATCCTTTTCAACGGTAGCCTGTGGAGCCTTGAGTGTTGGGAGCACTTGCTGTTGCTCGGTCCCCAGGTGGCACACCCAGGTGCGGTGGTGCTGAAGGTGTGGGTGATGAGCTGCAGTTCACTGAGGAAAATCCAGATGCAGACGTGAAGCGGAAGCACCAAGGCCTGCTGGGATGGAGTTCCCAAGCGAGCAGTGATGGGTACTGCAGGCTGATGTTCGGCATACACGTGCCGGGCTGTGCCGAGGGGTCGGTGAGGCTGGACGAGGGACACTCCTCTGCGGCTGGAGGCCCCCCAGGCCCAGAGGGCTCCACGTCCCAGGCCTCACAGAGGCGGTGCAGAGTGGGGTTGGGACTCCCTGCCCTAAGCTCAACCACCCCACTCTGGAGGTGTGGAGGGCACGTCATCAGGGGCCACCGTCTCAGTTGGGTCTCCTGGGGCTGCTAGGTCTGGCCAACCAGGCCTTGTCCCACGGGGGTGAGGAGTGGACCCCCGAGGGCCTGTCCCTTCGTGAGCACGTGAGGAGTATGTGTGTGGTCTCCAGGCATTCACTGAGCGTCTCCTGGTCTGGGCTCGGGTACAGAAGGAAGCAGTGTGTAGGATTTACGTTCCACCCAGGTTTAGGGGGAGTATCTTTCGCCGCTGGCACCTGAGGCCTGGCTTGGTGGCCTTCAACACAGCCCATGTAAATAGATTCTTGCCTTTTTTCCAGGACTCCAGAGAGCCAGGTCCCTGCCGAGTTCATCCTGGAAGCAAAACTGCCAAGTACTTGGAAACAGATGCACTGGCGCTCCTGGTGCCCAGTGACTGGAGGCCTGGGCCTGGGTCTCAGCCGTTGGACCTTCCTGCGGAGGGCAGGCACCCCATCGCGGCCCAGACAGGACAGGGGGACCTGCAGTGCCCGCACTGCCTGCAGTGCTTTGGCGATGAGCAAGGTGAAGAGCTCCTCGGGCACGTGGCCGAGTGCTGCCAGTGAGCTGGATCAACTCGGCCTGGTGGCCACTGCCCGGGACAGCCCCCTCAGGACGGGGCGGGTGTTTGAGATGCAGTGGTTGAGCTCCGCTGAGCTCCAAGACCCGCACAGTGGATCGGTCACTCTGATCATGCACCTTGGTGCCCCTTTGACTGTGGACCAGTCTGGGTCAGAGGGAACCGCCAGCGAGGCCGGAGGCATCTGGTGGAGGGAGGTGCCGTGTCATCTCTGCGTCGGGCCAAAGCCAGAGCAAGCTGGTGCTGGTGTGCCAGCCTCACCCAGCCTGCGCCTGGAGATGCGGCAGCTGGCTAGAAAGGGGCGGCTGCCTGTGGGAGCCACTTCCGTGATGCCCAGGGTGGAAGACCCAACCTGTTTTATAGAGTAAGGTGTCCCCTCCCTGCCTCGGACCAGGAGGCTTGCACAGTGGAGTACTGCAGCTGTACGTCACACTAGGGGACCCACCCCTGGTCGCTGCAGAGCCACGTCTGCACTGGAAAACGTCATATTGTAATAGCATTTGTCATGTATCCAGAAGTTAAAGCACACGTGTTTTTATAATAAATGTACTTACTACTGTGACTGCTCTGAGAATTCACGCAGGGACTGAGATGCAGGGACTGAGCAGCGTTTTCCTTATTTGCAGGAGTTAGACTGGCTGGCGGGGGGAAATACTCCCGTTGTCTGTTGCCTGCCAGGAGACCAAAGCAAGGGGTTGCTGAGAGCCTGGCTGACCCTGCCTTCGGGGCTGTGTGGGCAGAAGGCTGCCTTAGGATTTGCAGGGGTAGAAGACTTCCGTTTTAGGCTTCTTAATTTTAGCAGCCTCACAGAGCCAGGTGAAGACCTGAACGCCTGACCTTTACTCCGATTACTTGGAAGAATTCTTGAGACACATGGACAGAGGGTGACCTTTAAGTGACGCCCTGACGTTTGAGGGAAGCGAGCCACGGAGGAAGGCCACCCTTTGGTGGAAGCAAGGCATGGCGTTTGGAACTCTGGATCCCCACGCTCTCTTGAGCTGGGCTGCAGCGGGATTCAAGCAGAGGCCGTTGGGGCACAGATGAGGCTATGAGCTACTCAGAGCTACCCAGGCACCAGCCCAGTGCTCTGCCCTGGGCTTGTTTCTGCCCCAGGACATACAGAAAAGAGACGGGAATGAGGCTGGAGGGAGTCGGCATCCCCCGAGAGCATGCTAGAGCTGTGCAGAGAGAGGGCTAGCTGCATAGTACCTGTCTGTGGGTTGGAGTGACTGGAGGGGCGGGGTGGGAAGGGAGCTGTTTGCTGATGGCGGGAAGACTGTGGGTGCTGTGCTGTTTGCCGGTGCATTACCTCATTTAATCTTTACATCAAGGAGGTAAGTACAGCATTATCCCCAATACAGGTGAGGAAGGTGAGGCACAGAGGGGTTAAGTCCCTTGCCCAGGGACACACAGAGGCTAAGTCACAGCTGGAATTTGAGCCCAGGCTGTCTAGCTATTAATGCTGTCATCTTTATTGTACAATCTGTTCTTCATATGGGGTAGTTGTCAGTATCAACGCAAAGGGCTAGCACTGGGTGTCTCTGGGTCTGCGCATGTTGTCCCTTATACCTGGAACACTGTTCCACAGTGGGGAGGCCTATGGAAACCTACCCTCAAAGCCCAAGGAAGCCGAGAGGATGAAAAATGGCGAATAAGAGCCAGGCTCGTGGCTGTAATCCCACGCCTTGGGAGGCTGAGGTGAATGGACTGCCTGAGCCCACAGGTTTGAGATCCGCCTGGGCAACTTGGCAAGACCTCATCTCTAAAATAAATCAAAAAAGTTAGCCGGGTGTGGTAGCGCGCACTTGTAGTTCCAGCTACTTGGAAGGCTGAGGCGGAAGGATCGCCGAAGCCCAGCAGGTCAAGGCTGCGGTGGCTGGGAGTGGCCACTGCACTCCAGTCTGGGCGACAGAGTGAAACCCCAACTCAAAAAAAAAAAAAAAAAGCGAATAAGGACTTAAGAACTGAAGCCATAAGTAATCCCAGCACTTTGGGAGGCTGAGGCCAGAGGACTGCCTGAGCCCACGGGTTTGAGACCAGCCTGAACAACATGGTAAGACCTCGGCTCTACAGTAAATCAAAAAATTAGCTGGGCGTGGTGGCACATGCCTGTGGTTCTAGCTACTTGGAAGGCTGAGACAGAAAGATCGCCTGAGCCCAGCAGGTTAAGACTGCGATGGCTGTGAGCGTGCCACTGCATTCCAGCCTGGGTGACAGAGTGAGACTGCAATTCAAAAATAAAAAATAAAATAACAGAAGCTACGTCTGTGTCTTGGGCCGTGGCAAGACACCCTGTGCCATTAGCCTCAGACCCAGAGCTTATATACATGCCATAAAGGACAGCGGAAGGGATGTGCAAGACATTGACATCAAGGTTGTTTTGTCCTAAGAGCAGAGTTTACAGTAAGTACGTGGCTCTCACACAAGGAACAGTAGCAGCCTTTCTGGAACTGAAATTAAGCAGAAGTCAACATGGCAGATTAGTATCCAAGATGGAGTTGCTTTGGCATCACACCCTCTTACCCTTTTCATTTTGTTATTAAGCCTTCTCAAGTTGTAGTTCAGGTGTCACCTCTTTACGGTGAGTCCTGCCATGTACCCATCTTCCTGGGAATCTAACTTGGAAAAGATCCAGTCTGTATGGTGTGGGGTGGATAAAACTCTAGCAGAGGCCGGGCACGGTGGCTCAAGCCTGTAATCCCAGCACTTTGGGAGGCCGAGGTGGGAGGATAGCCTGAGCCCAGGGGTTTGAGACCAGCAAGGGCAACTTGGTAAGACCTCATCTCTACGATATATCAAAATAAATTAGCTGGGTGTGGTAGTTCCACCTATTTGGAAGGCTGAGGTGGAAGGATTACTGAGCCCAGCAGGTCAAAGCTGGGGTCGCTGTGAGCATGCTACTGCACTCTGGGTGACAGAGTGAAACTCTGACTCAAAACAAAATAAAACAAAACAAAACAAAAAAACTAGCCATGTGAAAAGTAAGGGCAGAATAAAGATATTTTCAGACAAGCACAAGCTAATAAAATTTATATCCAGCAGACTGTACTACAAGAAATACTTGTACTACAGAAATTATTTGGCCTAAAGAAAAATTATTCTGGAATAAAAATAAATTAGTTGAGTGTGGTGGCACACACCTGTAGTTCTAGCTACTTGGAAGGCTAAGGCAGAAGGATCACCTGACCCCAGCAGGTCGAGGCTATGGAGGCCGTGAGCATGCCACTGCTCTCCAGTCTGGGCATCACCATGAAGCTCTGACTCAAAAAATTAAAAAAATTAAAAATTAAAATAAATAGCCAGGTGCGGTGCATTTGTAGCCCCAGCTACTCAGTAGGCTGAGGCAAGAGGATCACTTGAGCCCAGAAGTTCAAGTTTGTAGTGAGCTATGACTACACCATTGCGCTCCAGCCTGGGTAACAGAGTGAGATCCCGTTTCAAAATAAACAAGCAAACTTCGCCAGGCTGGGTGGCTCAGCCTGTAATCCCGCGCCTTTGGGAGGCTGAGGTGAGTGGATTGCCTGAGCCCGCGGGTTCGAGACCCGCCTGGGCAGCGAGACCTCATCTCTACAATAAATCAAAGATCAGCCGGGGTGGTAATGCATGCCTGTAATTCCGGCTACTTGAAAGGCTGAGGCTGCCCAGCAGGTCGAGGCTGTGGTGGTTGGGAGCCGCCACTGCACTCCAGTCTGGGCGACAGAGTGAGACTCCAACTCAAAAAACAAAACAAAACAAAAAAACAACAAACTTCATCAAGTATAATGTTATTTGTAGGGTTTTTTTTTTATCACGTGCTTTCATCAGATTTGAGTAAATTTCTTCTATTCCTAATTTGCTAAAGGTTTTTATGAATGGGATTGAATTGTCAATTTCAAATGATCTATTAAAATGATCTTGTGGCCGGGTGCAGTGGCTCACACCTATAATCCCAGCACTTTGGGGGGGCCAAGGTGAGAGGATTGCCTGAGCCCATGGGTTTGAGACCAGCCTGGGCAACTTGGCGAGACCTCATCTCCACAATAAATAAAAAAATTAGCCAGGCATGGTAGGGCATGCCTGTAGTTCCAGCTACTTGGAAGGCTGAGGCCGAAGGATCATCTGAGCCCAGCAGGTCGAGGCTGCAGTGGGCCATGAACGTGCCACTGCCCTTCAGCCTGGGTGACAGAGTGAGACTCCAACTCGAAGATCCTAGGGAATCTACAAAAAAACTTAGAACTAGTAAGTCAGTCTGATAATCTCAGGATACAAAGTCAATTACAAAAAAATATTGCAATCATATATATATACGTATATATATATATATATATACGTATATATATTTTTTGTGTGTGTGTGTGTGTGTGTGTGTGTGTGTGTGTGTGTGTAGATTCCTAGGGAATCTACAAAAAAACTTAGAACTAGTAAGTCAGTCTGATAATCTCAGGATACAAAGTCAATTACAAAAAAAATATTGCAATCATATATATATACGTATATATATATATATATATATAATATATATATATATATACGTATATATACGTATATATATTTTGTGTGTGTGTGTGTGTGTGTGTGTGTGTGTGAGTTGAGTTGGAGTCTCACTCTGTCACCCAGACTGGAGTGCAGTGGCATGCTCATGGCCACCGTGCTGGAACTACAGGCGCATGCTATCACGCCCGGCTAATTATATTTTCTACAATCAATTGGAAAATAAAATTTTGAATTGAGTCCCCCCAAAAGATATGTTGAAGTGCTAATGCCCAGATCTATGAATGAGGCTCACTTGGAAATCGGGTCTTTACAAACGGAATCAAGTTAGGATGATGTCATACGGGATTAGGATGGGTCCTGAATTCAATAACCAACGTCCTTGCAAGAAGAGATATAGATTCACAGAGGGAAAATACCACATGAAGACAGAGGAAGAGATTGGAGTGATGCACCTGCAAGCAAAGGAACGCCAAGGACTGCTAGTGACCACTTGAAGCCAGGGAGGCGTGGAATCGATTCTTCCTCCAGAAGGATTCGATCCTGATGACATCAGAACCTCCAGAAGGATCCAATCCTGATGACATCTGGATTTTAGATTATATGCCACAAAACCGAGAGAGAACACATTTTTCTTTTCTTTTTTTTTTTTTTTTTTGTGAGTTGGAGTCTCACTGTCGCCAAGACTGGAGTGCAGTGGCCACTCCCGGCCACTGCAGCCTCGACCTGCTGGGCTCCGGCAATCCTTCCGCCTCAGCCTTCCAAGTAGCCGGAATTACAGACACGCACTACCATGCCTGGCTGATTTTTTGATTTATTGTAGAGACGAGGTCTCGCTGCCCAGGCGGGTCTTGAACTCGCAGCTCAGGCAATTCACTCACCTCAGCCTCCCAAAGGCGTGGGATGACAGGCTGAGCCACCAACCCCGGCTTGTTGTTGTTGTTTTAAGTCGGAGTCTCACTGTCGCCCAGGCAGGAGTGCAGTGGCATGCTCATAGCTACCACAGCCTCGACCTGCTGGGCTCAGGCAATCCTTCCATTTCAGCATTCCAAGTAGCTGGAACCACAGGCATGCAACAACATGCCCTGCTAA